TAAAATAACAGATCGAGGTTGTTAAAATTTTACCATCCAAACTATATTACTCAAAATGGCGACTGTTTAGTGATGCGATCGACGACAGTTAATCCAAATTGAAAACAGTGGTCGCGGAAAAAAGAGTGTTGCTGTAGTTTGTCTTAAGTAAGAACTCCCCTAGCCATTCGTCTGGACCCATGGTGGTGACTATGGTAACGAGGTATAACCATTTCAAGCAGAGGTGTGGGGACACTGTTTAGAACAAGTTTTACGTTCGGGTCAGGAAAACAAAAGTAATTTTTTTTCTGTTTTATTGTGTTAGCCCTAGAGTGAAGAGAAACTACCCTCCTTGAAATGCGCTATTCTTGTTTCCATAGCAGGAGACTTTGTGGAGGGGTGAGTTCTTACAGTAGACAAACTATACTCGAGTTAGGTACACAGGGCTTTACGTTAGGCGAGGAAGAACTTTGAAATATGAAGATATTCTACAGTTCTTTTTTTTTAAGTAAAAAGCGTTTGCTGTTTAGTATTTTAAAAGTTCTTATATCTCTACACTGTTTTGGCTGATAGAAATTTGTGAACATTGAAAATTATTCATTTGGTTTTAAGGCTGTTTTGCGAAAAGCTCGGTAGTCACATGACGCTGTATTTATAACTGCTGTGAAACTGCGACAGTTATCCATGACTGTTCTGTCAGGTTTAGCCTTTATTTAATCAGCGCCATCTGTGATGATTCTGAAAAGTGGCGCAAAACGTCAAAAGTAAAGCCACAATTTCGAGAAAATGAAAAGCCCTTATGATTTCATTTAATGGAGAGCTTTTTGCATAGCGTTTGTCGTACGTTTAACTGTAACGCACACTTTATTTTCTGCCCCTTTAGGAACACGGTGATTTGCAGGGTAAATTTCGCCCATGCGCTGTGAAGTTCAAAAAGAGTTAGAAAAACCATCGCCAAAATCTCTCGAATTTTTTAAAAGGTTATTTCAATGTTGTATCTAGGCTCACAAAAATCTGAAACAATTGAGAATTATTCCTTATTTTATATTTCATCTACGTGGATTAATCTCGCTAAATTGGCGATTTATTATTTTCGATTATTATTATAACGATTATTAACTTTTACAATATTTTAGTTGCTTTTTATTTGGTTGTTCTAAACGCCAGATAATTCATTACTGCGAGATAGTACAGATAATTTAAAATTAGTTTTATTTCCTATAAAATTATAGTACCTTACACTATAATTTTATAGTTGTTAAATTATAGTGTAAGGAACTTAAAATGTTCCCTTCTTTTATTTTCTTAAACAAAGAAAGCTTCGAAAAAACGCTGTGAATGATTTTCATTTCAATCGTTAGTTTAAATTTTCGATCCCCTGAGTTAGCTATTGAACAATACCCAATCAGCGGAGTGATTAGTGCTGACGTACTCTTGACGTCGCGAAGCTTGATGCACTGGAAATTTCTACTAGAAGTTTTCGAGAGGCCAAGCGGAAGTCCTTTTCTATTAGATTAATTGTTGATAGATTTTATTTTATAATGCCGGGTGCAATATATTTGTTTTCACTTTAAACGAACTTTTAATAAAATGTCTATTTTTATACACTGAAATGCTCCTGTCATATTCTTAAACTGAAAAACTTGTGTGGTTCGACAGATGAGAATACTCGTAACATAAATATTAGTCACTTTTCAAAAAAAAATGTTTAAAATACCATATGGGGAAAAATTAACAGTAACTCTTATCCTAGACTGAAGATCCTAGATTAAATATTTAAGAAATTGAAACCATAGTTTTATTTCAAATCAAAAATGTGTCATTGCTGCATTAAAGACTTAATTTATTCTTTCTTTTTCCCCATGGCAGCGGTTCCCAATTTTTTCGACTATGGAACCCTAAATGATCGATCCGACTCTAAAAATAAGGTATGTTACGAAAATTATGAAAGTATTAACCGATATAAGTCTATTCTATTTTTAAAATATATAATATGAGGATTTTGATCCCCGGGATAGCCTGGTTGGTAGGGCACTGGACCCATGTCCAAAAGGTTGTGGGTTTGATCACCGCCGACCGAAGACTCCCCTTGTAGTAAATGGTGACTGATGCGAGCTAAATCTGTCGAGTCACAAAGTCATCCATGTTCCCATAAGAAATCATGCCTCTGGGGGTACTGATCCAGGAGTTTCCTTGTCTTCTGGATTGGTTCAAAATTACAAGACTACGAAGATGAACATCAGTTTCCTTGTCTTCTGGATTGGTTCAAAATTACAAGACTACGAAGATGAACATTAGTAGTCGTAAACCCAAAAATTGGGTCGGCTGTTCAACGACGATAATAAAGGCATGGTGGCTCAGGTTTGAATCTCAGAGACAGCTGATATTCAAAAATCACACACGTCTTGCACCGACTACAGTACTGACGAAAAATATCCCGAATTGTAGACGGATCATGGATTAGAGTCCCCTTCTCGTCAGGCTAATCGTGGGAGGCTTTCGTGGTTTTCATCTCTATCTAATGCAAATCTGGATTAGTTTCATTAAAAAGTCCTCCGCGTAGGCAGATTTCTCCTAATACTTGATCCAGTAGTTCCTTTGCCTTCTGGATTACAATTACAAAGGTACTGTTGGAACATTGGTAGTCATAAACTCCAAAAATTGGGTTGGCTGTTCAACATGAAAAATGGATTTTTAACTCAAACTAACTAAATGTTTTCGTTGAATAGTTTCGTCAGGTTTTAAAATTGTTTTCCTGACTATCGGAACCCCTGTAGAGTTACAGGGGTTCCGATAGTCAGAACTCTAAGGTTCCACAGAATACTATTTGAGAACTGTTGTACTACAGTATGTACAGTACAGTCCTATAGTGCAATACTAAAATAATAAAAGTTGAGAAAATAGTTTCCTCCTACAGTTTAAAATTATGTAACTTCTTCCGAAGTTTATTTTATTATTCTTTTTTTTTCCTTTTAATTTTGTGTCGATTTAAATTGGGATAGAAATTTTTATTGCCAATTAAATTCTTCTAGAAACTTAAAGCATGTCTTATATACTAGGGAATTGATGTTCAGTAATTGTGGTGGTAGTTGCGCGACAATTTCCAAATAATTAAATCGTAATTTATTTTTAAAAAATAGCAAAATCAAACATTGAAACGAAGAATTCGTCAAAGAAATCCCTTACAAGGTATTATTTATGGAAGAGTTTAATTTTATGCTGTATTTCTCTACTTTTATGAGGTTAATTTCTTGTGACGAGTAACCTATGAATCTAATAAACTAAAATAATATCTATGAAGGAAAAAAAAGTAGCCTTTTAAAAAAGCAAATATTTTAACTCTTGACTTTGGGGTAAATATCCTTGTTCTTCCTTTCAAGCAAAACAACTTCCACTTTTATTGCCAATTTCTCTTTTTTATTGTATATCTATATACTTTCTTGTGGACATTCCTCTAAGCTTCCCGCAGCAAAACCAAACTCTTCATTATTTTCTTCGTTTACCCCCTCTAGAACTTTCGAACATCTTTATTAAACCCGAAATGAAAGAAATAAAGAAAGAAGAAAAAAAAGGGGGAGAAGTTACAAATTTTATCTCGCGGTCCCCGGAGTCATTGAAATCCGCGGGACAAGAAAAATAAATCTGCAGTAACCTCAGAATATTTTTTTTTTACCTCTTCCTATAAAAAAAAGAAAGGAAAATATCTCGAAAAAGATAGGCCTCGATAGAACTCATAACTTCTAGAATTGTCTCCTTTGCAGACAAATACTGAACTTCTAAAATGATTTTCAAATACTATCGAAGGTATACAATAATAAAGCCGACTAAAAAAAAGTTTGTTTTTGTTTGATTTCCCTCCCGAAAGTTGATGCCCCCCTCACCTCATGATGTTAGAAGAAGATACTAAATCCTATATTTTCGTTTTACTTTTTGCAAGAAAACTGAATAGTTATATATGTCAATTCAGGAGGGGGGGGGGAGGAAAAAAAACAGTGAGTTCAAACCACAGTTACCTGTTTTCCGATAAATATTTCTTTTACGCATGAATTTATATTCAAATAAACAAACTGTTCCACCACGACCACCTTTAATGTATCAAAAAAATTCAGTTGATTCTATCATTTTAATATATTTGTGGCGTAACTACCACTATGATTATTAAGCATCAATTCACTAGTATATAAGACATGCCAACTTGATTCAATCTTGTGGTACCTTTTGATAGATGAAGGTTGACATTGTCTAATGGTATATTCCCCACATATTTATTAAAATTGAAGTCAAAAAGGCTTACATTAGGTGTTGTTAATTCATTTTTGAGCGAAGAAAAAAACAAAAACGGTATGGAATTCTGTCGAATAGCTAGTGACGAAAGCGGGTGAGAAAGTATCAAAACCTGGTTGAATGCTGGATGAAAAACAGAGGAGACAAAGTTGATTTTAATATAAAATTTTCCAAGCCTCATCTTTTATTTTTTTACTTTCTTATTTTCAGGTAAGTGTATGTTATCTCGAAAAATGGTTTAAATTTGGTTTGGTAATACATATTGTTGTCACCATTTGTAAAGTAAATGTAACTTGTATTGGCATGATTGAAGCTTGAACAACTCTAGCTAGTCGTAAAGTGGTCAAAATTTCGATCGCAAGATCGCAGACACGAAAACGAGATTAGTTAAAAGCAAACTTATAAAACTACTTAATTAGTTGCGGTACTTAAAAAAAAGCATACTCTAGCAATTTAATGAAATCATTCGAATTTGTTACTTTTTTAGTCAAACTTCTTCCAATTCGATACAGTTACAGAAAAGTAAATAATAAACCCAAAAGAATCAGTAAACAAATAAAATCAAAAGCACAATATTTCTTATCAAATTGAAACTTTCCTGGGCGTTAATTAAATCAAGTTAAAATAAGCATTCACATCGGCCATTCGCAACTGTTGTGCCCAAATTAAAAAGCAAGAATGCAGAAATGAGAAAAGATTAATTATTCAATTAAACTGACAAGAGTTTTGTACCAAAGACATGTTTGCACCGTTCCTCTCCCAGCTCCTGGGGGAGAAGATGTTCCCGCATCTAGCTCTCTTTCTCCAGCTTTAGTTATCGTCTGCAGTCGCCGAGTAGATGTTTACGCGTATGAACAACAAAAATATTCAGGAAAGGTCAATACAATCCCTGTCGTTGGAAACAAAATTCTAGGCTTTTAATCTAGGGGACCCATGGGATAAAGGGCCCCAATAAATATGATAATTGAGAACAATTCCATTCATTTAAAGAAATCATTGAATTTATTAATATAAATGATGACATTCTCAAATGAATTGCAACAATTTTTAAAGCACATAATAGTTAAAATACATTTGATAATTTTTAAAGCTCATAATAAACTGTAACAATGCAAAAAAGTAACTTTTCTTAGCAATTTGAAATACGGCCAATATTACATTTTGTGTGTTAATAGTCACGGCTCTGAAATATAATCAATTAAAGAGTTGTAGTTATAATTAATTGTCGTAAATGTTAACACATAAAATGCAACGTTAATTGTATTTTGAATTGTTAGGAAAAGTTCCTATTTTGTTTTGTTACAAATGTGTCTAAAGAATTTTTAAAACTCGTAAGTAGTTTACATGAGAATTTGCGAAACGCAAAATAAATTGTAATAATGCAAAACAGATTCAATGTAAATTGAATCTGTAAATAACAATGTAAAATTAAAAACAATTTTACGTGTTAATATTCGCGGCACTGAAATAAAAACTTTTGACCACTTTAATAGACTTTATTTTAGTTCCACGCTACTAAAATAAACACAATAATGATATTTTGTTTATACATATTGTATTGTGTTTGTTAAGACTGTATTGTATGTAATATTATATTGTGTTTGTTATTAGTTGCGTTTTAAATTTCAAAGAAAAGTTCCTATTTCGTATTGTTACAATTAATAATTTGCTTAAAAAATTATCCAATGCAATCTAGCTATTTTTAACACTAGAAAGACTGAAACTTAGTATACAACAGCACTTAACTTAGTATGAAACAGCGTTTAACTTAGTATGAAACAGCGTTTAGACTCAAGTATTAGTCGAGTATTAATCAATTATGTAGGTACCATCGCAATATACTGTGGGATTGAGAGTAGATAGAATCGTGTGTGCACCAACCGTAGTACAAATACATATTTGTACACAGTAATAATAAAAAACAAATGTGGCCGTACAATCTATATTTGAGAACTTAAAAGTCTTCATATATTGAAAATAATAGTTTTGTCTCAAAATTACCAGAATAATGTAATATGTACCGCTTTGGTAATGACTTTTCGTAAAAATATTAATAAAATATGGTTTTATTATCAAGCTGTTTCGTAATAAATTTGTTAAAATTGTACTAATATTTGTAGAAATTGCAGCACTATGAGGGAATTATCAGAAAACAGTGAAATTTGTCTTATATTATTACTTAGAGAGGTATATGAAATATGTGCAATAGTGATACAGGGACAATCGATTTGTAATTCTAATTATTTGCACGTCTTAGCACACTTTAAATTTCATATAAATTCGGTTCGATTTGCATAATTCCTATGGTGTTGCAATTTTCACAAACATTAATGTATTATCTAAAGGAGGAATTTAATCAGCAATTATTATTGATAAATGCTCTCATAACTTACATGAGAGATGATGAGCAATAGAAAGTGTTAATTAAATACAAGTAGTTTACTACATTTACTTTCTTGAATACGACGAGCTTGGTGCAAAAGGGTTCAAGTTCAAGTCATGACATAGTAGTATTTCGCTTTTCCTATTACAGGTGATCACGTGTAACAGGAATATATATACTCTTCAAATAACGGACACTACAGGCAGTCACCAGTTTCCAGCAATGCAAAGATTGAATACTGGTAAAGGACATGCTTTTATTCTAGTCTACGCCATCACCAGCAAGCAGAGTCTAGAAGACCCTGCTCCAATCTACGCTCTTATAAGAGAAGTAAAGGTAAGGTCATCTGAAATGAACTTTTATTTATTCATTCGGGGTGTTCTCTAATAGCTGCGCTTTATAGAGAGTGCATAGCTAAATATGTATTTATTCTCTTAACCAGCTTCAGCTGTGCGCATTGAAAAGGGTATATATAAGTTAAGTGGCAATCTCTGCAATAGAAGCCGCTTGAAGGCCGGGATAGCCTGGTTGGTAGGACACTAGGCCCATGTACGAGAGTTCGTGGATTCGATCCTTGCCGGTCGAAGACTCTCCTTGTAGTAAATGGTGATTGATGCCCGTTAAATCTGTCGAGTTGCAAAGTCCTCCCTGTTCCTATAGCAAATCAATACCACTGGGGGTACTGATCTAGGATTTTCCTCGTCTTATGGATTGGTTCGAAATTACAAGGCTACGGAGTTGAACATTAGTAGTCGTAAACCCAAAATTGGGTCGGCTGTTCAAACCGTGGAGGGCTCAGAATATAAAGGGTTTGCCTTCCATTGAGTTGAACCGGGTTCAAATCCCAGCGAAGGCTGGTCGGTACGAATTCCGCGTCCGACTTGCACCGACCACAGTGCTGACGTAAAATATCATCGGTGATACACGGATCACGTGCTAGAGTCCCCTTTCCGTGAGGATAATCGCAAGAGGTTTCACTTGTTTTCCTCACCGTGTAACGCAAATGCTGGTTAGTTCCAGCAAAAAGTTATCCACGAAGACAAATCTCTCCTAATACTTGATTTAGGAGTTCCCTAGTCTTCTGGATTGGGTTCAAAATGACAAGGCTGTGGAGTTGAGCGTTAGTAGTCGTAATCTCAAAAATTTGGGTCGGCTGTGTTCAACCACGGTTATAAAATGAAATAGAAGCCGCTCTTGGCTCCATATGGTGAAACGCTATGGGTTATAAAGTTGTAGAACTCTAATTTGGTACGGATGGATGTCATGTGTACATTTTCCCACCAGATGACACTGTAAACGACTTTTACTTAAATACCATCTTAATATATTTGACTGCAATCGTTTAAAGTTCAGAAGGTGAAGTATTAAGTAGGACTTCAACCCAAGTAAACTAGTTACTTTGCTCTGATAAAGCTCAATATTGATTCATGAAATTGATGACATTACTTAAATACTAATATGATTCCCCTGATGTGCACATTTTTTTGTCTTTTTAAAATAAATATGTAAGGAATAAATATGAAACATCATCATCCAATGATTTCTATCATGTGTAAGTAGATTTTGATAGGCAACAAATAGTCCACATCGCTCTATGATGTGTTGCTCTGATTGTATTTCATGATATGCTTATGTCCTATTGTTTTTCCATATTTTGTTTTGTTTTTTCCAAAAAATAGCAACATTTCATAATGAAAGATGGTGATCTACTAAAAAGATGCATGTTTTGCATTGCTGAATTTACAGTCTCCACTTTATGCTGGGACAATGTAGATATGGTGGGTAAACATCGTTCGGATGGTTGCCGAACATTAAAATCAAGGCCTGATTATCGCCTAGGCCCAATAGGCATGGGTCTAGGGCCCACAATTTCTGAGGGGCCTCAAAAATTATTAAAAAAGTCTAATGAAAGGTGGGATAGCTTTGTGTTGGTTTAATATAAAATAAGTCAGCTAATCAGTGACTTTTAGCAAAAATCACTGATTTCAATTGTTTGTGCTCAACAAACTACTTTTATTTTGATACAACATTTTGTTGTTTCATATTTGCCTTTAATTTATAGATATATAAACTTGATCTTAGAGAAATAATATTAAATTGTCTGCAAAATTTCTTAGAATGTTTCTTTTGAATCATGCAGTTCAATGGATTCTTTTTTTATTGTTAGGACTACTCTTCGGTAATTTAGCTTAAATTATTTCATAAGGGACCCGAAAAACTTGGTGGGCCTTGGACCTGAGTTTGTCTTGATCGGTTCCTGATTAAAGTTAGGATAGGCAATCATCATATAATGCTGGTGCTTTCAATAGTTATTTTTTTAAATTGCTACTGATGTTTTTATTGTCTTTTTTTTTAAATAGGGTAACCTTGAAGGTATTCCCATGATGCTCGTTGGCAACAAGAACGATGAGGAAGAAAACCGTGAAGTGCAATATCAAGATGGCATGGCCCAAGCTCACAAATGGAATTGCAATTCCATGGAAACGTCAGCCAAGAACAACACTAACGTCAAAGAGATGTTTCAAGAACTTCTGAACATGGAAAAGTCTAGAAACGTCTGTCTCCAAAGCGAGAGACGAACTTTAGCCCAGTTCAGGAAAGACAATTTGAAGGGCCAAATGCCTCATGATGTGACGTCACATCGATCTTTCGAGAATTCCATTATACACTATTTATTAGTGTTTCCCGAATAAACTAATTCAGTTTCATAGACATTATTTATTTTACAGAGAAAAGAGAGAGAGAGAGAGATATATTGTGCAGTATTTTTTTGGAGATTAGGAAGAGACCGTGTTCTTCCAGAAACTATGAAAGAAGATATAGCTTCATAGTCATGTGGTTTCTTTTAACGGACCGGTTCAGACTGGTTCCCTCCCAACGGCGATCATATGTTACGACTATGTAATAAAATATTATATCTATAGAAATAATAAGTACATCGTAAACATTAAAACAGGCTTTTTTTTTGCTTTGTAATTGTGTGTTGTTTTAGCAGTATTGAATTTGGATATAGCACGATTAAAAAAAATCATAAAAAATTTCACTAATGGAAAATAGTTCATGTGGTTTTTTTTTTTAATGAACCGGTTCAAACTAGTTCTCTCCCATCGGATATCACATGTTAAGAAGATGTCATAAAACATTATATTTGTAGAAATAAAAAATATAATGTTAACATGAAAGCAGTGTTTGATTTGTAGCCATTAAAGAGAGAGTTACGCAATGATAATATTTTTTTTAAAAATATTGAAAACCATCCACCATATTTGACATAAAACTGTCACTAATAAAATTAAGAAAACTTGGTGAGAAAATTCAAAATAAGAAATCTGGTGTTATATAAACAACATTGAGATAGAAAGAGAGACTTGTTGTCGGATAAATGTGCAACTATCGCTAACACATTCCGGATGATCTGGTTCTTTTTGATCTGAAGCAATATTGGATTTCAGCCACCACCGGAACCGAACCCCAGTTCTTTGCTATGACAGCTCAGTACCTTAACCAATGAATCATTACAAAACTTCTCTGTTCTAAAACTCTGAAGATGGTAAAAATTTTGGTTTCTTCGACCAAATTTATTGCGCAGTATTTTTTCAGGTGGTATCTTCCTCCTTTTCGTATTCAATTTTACCCTTACATTTAAAAATTAATGATCATTTCTATGCTCAAATTCAGCTCTATAAGTCGCGATGGCTCAGGGGATAGAGTGTTCGCCGGGGATCTCAGGGGATCCGGTTTGTACAGACCACAGTGCTGACGTGAAATATCCTCAGTGGTAGACGGATCATGGGTTAGAGTCCTTTCGCCGTTAGTGGGAGGTTCTCGTGGTCTTCCTCTCCATGTAACGCAAATGCGGGTTAGTTCCATCGAAAAGTCCTCCACGAAGGCAAATGTCTCCTAATACTTGATCCAGGAGATCTCTTGTCTTCTGGATTGGGTTCAAAATTACAAAGCTACGGAGTTAAACATTAGAAGTCGTAAATCTAGAAGTTGGGTTGGCTGTTCAACGACGGTTATAAAATAAAATTGTAAAAATTCAGTTCTATTACTTTCGACATGTTTTGCTTGATATCTAATAATATAACGACAGTTTGATTTGCATAAAGTAAAATCATACAATACACGCAATGAGAGAATATACGTATTTATAGCTTTTATCTGAATTATACAATTGAAATTTATGCTATTTTAAAAACATTTGGTGTACTTCCTTAACTAGAAACATTTAATGTTTTTCGTTGCTATGGAGACCACTGGTTTTAAATTTTTACCAAACAAATTAAACATTCCAGCAACATCCTGTTATAAAGGATTTAAAAAGATGGAAAATTCACAGTTTTGAGACAAACGCCAAAATAGTGGTAATGCGTCCAGCACAATGACCGCCTTCACTTAACAGCCAAACTTGTACCGATCGTTTTTAAAGCTGCGCGGATTTCAAAACGACACTGGAGATCGAACCCAGACTTTCACAATGACAGCTTAGTGCTTTAGCCACTCTACAATCGATTTTCAAATTTTTCACTGAAGTTGATATTTAAATTTTTTCTTAAAACCACTAAATAAGTAAATGAATAAGTGGATCAGTTTGTTTTGCAACACTGAATAAAAATAATGATAGCTAAAATAAACTAATAAATTTAATCAACAAAATAAACCAATAAATTTAATCAACAAAATAAATTAATAAATAAAAAATTAATAAATAAAATAAATTTATAAATAAAATTATGTAAGCTCAGTTTAGTGTAGTGGGGAAGTGGAACTCATATTTGCCCTAAGTATAGATAAACTCCTTAAGAAGGCTTAAATTTAAAGAGTCAATTTCCTAAAAAATGATTTTTTTAAAAAGAAAATATTAGTATCCTCCCTGTTTGTATACGTTTTACTTAAAGCAAATTTAAAATAATTTTTTCTATGTCAATTGTATCCTTTGAATAAATAAAAATGTATGGAAGAAATCTGTTTTTTATTTTAAACTTAATTCTGAAATTATCATTAATGTTATTTTTTCTTACATTTAAATTAGAATAACCAATTTTTAAAAATATTTTCAACAATACTTAGCACTGAAACTTTTACAACAATAAAGTTATAGAGAGTTATATAAAAATATTATGCAAGATACTATTTAAACAATTGTTCACATTGTTGCAAACGAAGCATCTGTTAGTTCGATTAAAAAAGTTTTTTTTTACTCATTCTTGTTTGAGATTTCTCAAATGCTGGTAGTCTTTTTGTGAGATTAAAAAGTGAGAATTATGGATAAAAGCGATTTATATCGTTTGAATCATTGGAGAAAGGAAAGGGAAAAGTATCCCCGACCTAATCGTAAGCATAAAATACTTTTAATGTTTTTATAATTTTAACTATTTATTGATATGGAACTAGAATATTGTTAAAGTGATATAAAACTTCTGTACAGTGATCAACATTAAACCTAAATTTAAAGAAGATTGAAGAAATTTCATAAACATTAAAAAAATTGAAATTTTTTTTAGACATTTAGTTAAATAATACTTTAGTAAAACTCAGAAGAAAAAAAATAGTGGATTGTTTAATAAAACTTTTAAAATGTTTTTTTTTTTTTAAAAAAATAGGTAATCTAATTTAACTTCTTTGCTGAATGGCATTATTAAAAAAAGAATAAGAGACAAGTTCAAATAGAAATTTAGAGGAATAATAGGTTTGAGTATAGAATAGAGTGCCTCTTAGATTTTGCACTGTAAACTGAGGCTTAATATACTGAATACAAAATATTTTATTTTCCTGATCTTTCTATCCCGATTTCTTATTTCCTATTCTCGATGTCTCAAAAACAGTAAAAATCTCAATTTTTAATAATTTTCCCTGTTTTCTGCAAAGACTTGAAAAAAAAACAAAAAACGCCAAAATAAGTAGGTCACCCAATTGTAAACTTTTACTGAGAAATATGAAGATGATACAGGTTTTATGGGTAAAATCCTAGACTAGCCCACCTCTTGGCGACTGTTTGAAATCTCGCCAAGTTGGTGATTAGTACTGGGATCAACGTTGCTTTTTGATAATTTAAAAAAACTATTTATTCAAACAACATTAACGATTTATTGAAACAATTAAATAATTGACGATTTTTTTGAACAATTTATTTATTAAAATTCTCCGAAATATCTTCCGGAAACCTAGTTTGGCGAGATTTAAAAAATCGCCACCGGTTGGACTATTCTAGGATCCACCCGATTTTATGTTTTTCTATATCTTATAAAAACATTAAAAGTAAAAAATAAAACAAAATAAAGTAAAAAACAAATAAAATATTACGCTAGAAAGTATTATTTACCCTTTGAGTGTTTTAAATGCACGTTGAAAGAATGTGGGGTAATATCCGAGAATTAGATGTTCAGGAACTATGAAAAATTGTGTGTTATTTCAAGTTAATACCGTATAGAGTGCTTACACACACGTTAGAGCACATGGCTAAATCTAAACTCCAATAAATGATAAAGCTTACACCAAGCTCAGATGCTTTTACTCCATTTGTGAAAAATTTTCTCCAAAACTTTGCCTAAATTCGGAAATCGTCAAACGATAGATGTATTTTTGTTAACAATCGACGAGAGAAGGTAAAAAGTTTGATTTCGATATTGAAATGCTGAACAGTTATGAAAAGGTATGTATATTTTTAGCTGTAAAATAAAGATAATTATACGAGCATGTTCAAAAATCTGCCAATTGAATTAAATAATTTTAGACTATTTCATTTCTATCAGCATAAGTTTTGTTGAGCCTTGTTCGAATTCAGATAATTATTCTCTGTGTGCTTTGTTTATGTTTGATTCACAAACTAATTTTATTTTAATAAATATTGTAGATATAAATCCTAAATTTATAACTCTTGTTTTATACTGTAATGTCACTAAAACTTTACTTATTCTTATGTATATCACACCCTACTGCAATTATAAATTTTTAGTGTCTACTTTACACCAAGAAATGTAAAAAAACATTCTTAGTGTTTCACTACATCAGGAAGTATTCTCGGTACTTGGTGTAGTAGAAAACCACTTGGTGTAAAAAAGTTGCCACTATTTTCAGTGTGAATTTACACTAAATTTTTTTCAGTATAGTAATTTTTTTAAAAAAAAATTCAACGCTTTGTGCGAAACATTTTTTTTTAATCCTTTTTTCTCTTATTAATAATTAACGTGTTTCATAAATCCAGACATTATCATTTAGGAACTATGTTTTATTTCTTTGTTAAAAAAATATACGTGACAGTTACAGTTTAATGAAGCAGTTTAATTAACGATGCAGTCTTATAATTTATTAGAATTTTTTTTTTTTGCATTTGGTACAATCTTTGAATGTGATACAATGTTTGATTGTATGTTACATTGTATCATTGTATCATAATTCAATCATTGTATCACATGATTGAATTATGATGGCATCATTATATCACATGAATCATTCACTTAATTATTTTATTAAAATGTTCTTTTTCAAAAATATGTATATTTTTTTCAAGAAAGATTTTCAACCTTTTTAATTGAATTTAAATATAAGTTGCGAAAGATTGTATGTGAGGTAGTATGTTAAATTTTCTCTCTTATTATTAAATTGAAGAAACATTTATTTTAAAACTTATTTAAGCAAGATTTACTTTCAAAACTATGTTTTATTCAGATTTTATTTTAATTAATATTTTAGC